CCCCAAAACCCCAAAACCCCAAAACCCCTCATAAAAATCCCCACATTGAAATAGTGATAGCTTGGGAACACAAGAGTCTGTAAGCATTAATAATTGAGCCTCTGCAGAATACTCCACCCTAAGATTTGAAGCTAAGAGATGAGATCTTATATTTCTCAAGGTTTAAAACCTCATAAGCCACATTCAATTTTATGAAGACGGTAGGTAAACAAGTAAATTTCATTTGTATAAATCTTCTTTTAACCTATATTGTCTAATTTGGTGCTCTCTTTTTCCTAATAGGTGTGCTTGGAGCAAACTCTGATAATTTTGGTTTCTGGCCTGATAAGAGTAGTTTTCTAAATTTTGACTGTCGATATCTTCCTATTACAGAAGATATGTTCTTGTTATCTCTAATTAAAGGCCACTGCGTTTATCACAGAAGGGGATTTATCTCGCCTAAACAAACATAGTAAGAGCTTATCTTCATGAATAAGTAACCAGATGCACTTACATTTGGAACAAAGATGGCTTGATTTTGTTTCTGGCAAACCCTAGAATGTATGATTAGAAGAAGTATAGCCTCTTGTGGACCAAAACCTGCTTACTCATTGGAAATGGTTTTGAATATGATGAAGCATACTTCTTCATGAGTTTTCCTGTATCTATATCAAATAGAATTATTTAACAGCTATTTGAATGATGTACTATCAAGAGAATCTTTCAGTCTGGAATCGAGATTTGTCCTCTCACTTTGCCCCATCTCAATCATCGATTTATTCTTGGAAACAAGTTTATTACTGCTGTTCCGGAATCTGTGAGATTAAGAGAGATGGAGTTGTTACCTGGACATGCTACTATAAGTCTTTTTCCTCTGATTGAAATATTTTGTCCTTGCAATCGCAGGATGAGGCGTCCTTGGAATTCAGAAGCCCTATTATTTATGAGAAGAAATACAGTTTTATCCACCTCCCTATTTATGACCAAATTTATGCTGCTTGAATACGGGTAATTTTGAGAGCTATGTGTGCTGTCAACTTGAGATGAGGAGTTCTTTTTCTTCCCTAAATATAAAAAAAAATAAAAAATACTTGTGATTTTTATGCTACGAGCTCCTATAAGAATAAGGATTTTGTATCAGTGCTCAAGAGGCTGATCTTCTTTGATTCTTTCTTAATCTTTCTTGACTTTTGAAATAACTTCTTGGGAGATGGGGAGAGCTTCATACTTTTAATATGAATCAACATGTCTTCTGAATCAGGACCTAAAGGTTTACGAAATTCGTACTAGCTTTAGTATACAGCACACTTTGATGCTTGAATTCACTATTTATCCTATATCCTGAGTAAATCTGAAGAGGGGTTGCTTACAATGATCAGTATTTATGAATAGATTCCATGATGCAATTAAAAATATATTCAACATATTGAAATGATGTCGGGGTTTTGGGGTTTTGGGGTTTTGGGG